CTTGGGCACCTCACAAGTTTTGAAACCAAGGGAACGCTGGACAAATGCTCTCGACCTCATCTGCTCTTAGCTATTTGCTTTTAGTTGACTGACAAGGTGGGGGGCGTGACGGTGGCAGTTGATGAATTTTGATGCAATCACCTTCCCCACACCTTGGATTATAAATTTTCCCAAACCCTATCCTGATCGGGTGGGTTTGAGGCTTGCACCCTGTCTCCACGTGCTTCACCACCGTTATGGTTTGGATATGAAGTGTCCCCCCAGAAACCTCAAGTGTTCCTGCGGGAATGCTTAGAGCTGAAACAATCGAGCTATGGCCCCATCAGTGCATTAAGCCATTCGTGTTAGTAATTTGAATGGATTACCTGTGTTCGAATTGTGGGCAGGGGGGCTGCATCCCTGGGGTGAGCCTTGGGGATCACATGCATTTTTTCCCTGGCTTCCTGCACTTGCTCTCTGCTTCCTGGCTGCCATGGGCTAAGCAGCTCTCCTGGGCTGGGCTTCCGCCATGATGTTCTGCCTCATCTTGGGCCCAGAGCAGTGGAGCTGGCCAGCCACGGACCAAACCTCTGAATCTGTGAGCCTCAAATAAACCTTCTGTCCTCGAGATTGTTTTTGTCTGGTATTTTGGTCACAGCAATGAAAAGCTGACTAACACAGTTGCCTCATGAATAAATTCTCTCTTGCACAATTCATCTTTGTAGTGATTGGCACACTGCGTGGTGGCCCAAGTGAACCTGCTTTGGTAACAGTTTTGTCCTTGGCCATCAATGAGGAGAATTGTACTCTGTGGTGGTCTTTTAAAAAACACGGGTCTCTTTATGCCCATTTAAGTCACCTGGTAGGAGGTATAATATTATTTATGTGTATGAAGCAGAATACAAGGCAATTCCCAGATTACCAGTGTTTTGTGTTATGAGTTTTCAAACTTATGATGGTGCAAAAGTGACATGCATTCAAGTGTTGAGCCATGCTTCAAGTGTTGGAGTTTGGACTTTGCCCAGCCTCTCAGCACGCACACTCTCTTCTCTGCTGATGCTGGGAGGAGGTGCCCGCACCACAAGGGGACCCCAGAGCCCCACAGTGGCTGTGCTGCAAGCCTGGTGCTCCATGGGCTAGGTGGGCCACTGCATTGAAGAGACTTTCCACTTCTGATGTGTTTCTGGGGACATAATCTCATAAATTGAGGGGCATCTGAATTTAGAAATTTGGATCCTTAAGCCGATTATTTAGACTGGGAGCCGGGTTCTTGGGTTTGAATTGCTTCCTAGATGACCTTTGGCAAATCACTTAACCATTCTGAACCTCTGTTGTTTCATCTGTAAATTGGAAATAACATATAATAGACATGGTCTTTTTTATATATTTATTTTTTAGGTTTAGGTGGACACAATATCTTTATTTTATTTTTATGTGGTGCTGAGAATCGAACTCAGTGCCTCACGCATGCTAGGCGAGTGTACTGCCACTTGAGCCACATCCCCAGCCCAAGAGACATGTTCTTGAAAGTCATTTGGTCATTTTGTCACTGGGAATTTCTCTTGGCTGTCTTTCTGAGGTCACTTAATATCTAAATTTCTACTAACTTTTTTTTTTTTTGGAAGGAGGATTGAACCTGGGTATGCTTAACCACTGAGTCATGTAGCAGCACTTTTTATTTTTTATTTTGAGATAGGATCTCACTAAGTTTCTTAGGGCCTCCCTGAATTGCTGAGGCTGGCTTTGAAATAGAGATCCTCCTGCCTCAGCCTCCCCGGGTTCCTAGGATTATAGGTATGTGCCACTGTGCACACCAATAATTTCTACTAATATCTACCTATCCTTTCATGGACCCCAGCCTTCCACCCCATCCAATCACATCTCTTCCTCTTCCTCTAGGCAGCCTCCTGCTCCTAGAGAGCTTATTCATCTCTTAGAAAGAGCAGCTCAGCAACTTACCTGAAAACAGGACATCATCACACTCTTCGGGATGCGTCCTCCTCCCTCCAGCAGAAGCACCTAACCAACAGTTTCTGCTTTCCGGGGTGAGCCCTCTGCTCCACCAGCATCTGTGAGGGTCTAGTGTGGGGTCTTCTGATGCAAACCCTACTATCTCCCACAGGAAGCAGACTGCCTACGAGGTTACAGGTAGAAGAGGTGAGGTTACAAATGGGAACTTGTGAATTTATGCTAACATGATGTTGCTCTGAACTGCTTTCTATTTAGGTCCCCATGTTGGAGTTCACTGGAAACACAGAGTCTGCCACCAGAACATTTGATAGCCACCGGCTTGGCTTTTCTCCTGGCTCCCTGCTGGTTAGAATGGAGAGCTTTTTTTCTCTCTCTGGTTTTCCTCTTGAGCCACTGAGATGACTTCTTTCTTCTGTATTTATTCAATTAACTTTTCACTCTCTCAGGCTCTGAAACCAACAGACATCCTGACATCTGAGGACACAGGAATCTCTCACTTTCATTTCTCTCAATCATAGCAGATTTTTATTTTCTCTTCCCTAATACAAAGGCTTTCTTGGACTGCAGCTGCTGATTTTATAATTATCACTAACAACTAGTGATTTGGGGTGCAGGGAAGCATATTCTTAGGGAAATAGCATCCTTTAGAACAATCAACCAATCAGAATTTTGGGTATAAAAAATAATGCAATTTTATTGACTGCTCTGGAAGAATATATTGATATTTTCATTATAAACATACTTTTTGGGGGTGTACCAGGGATTGAACTCAGGGGCACTCAGCCACTGAGCCACATCCCCAGCTCTATTTTGTATTTTATTTAGAGATAGGTTCTCACTGACTTGCTTAGTGCCTCACTGTTGCTGAGGGTGGCTTTGAACTTGTGATCCTCCTGCCTTAGCTTCCTGAGCTGCTGGGATTACAGGTGTGCACCACCACGCTCAGCCAAATATAAAAATTTTATATGAAGAAACTTCAGCTGGGTACATTAGCACAAACCTGTAATTTCAGCTACTTAAGAGGCTGAGGCAAAGGATTGAAAGTTTAAGGCCAGCTGGGAAATTTAGCAAAACCTGTCTCAAAATAAAAACAGGGCTTGGGTAGCCTAGCATGTGCAAGGCCCTGGGTTCAATCCCAATACTCCCCCTGACCTCCACACAAAGAAACTCTGCACTCATTTTCTTCAGATCAACATGGAAACTGAGTTTGCATGATAATGGCTGAGTTCTCAACTAAATTATATAGCATTTTCACAACCTACATGATTTAGATAGTAGCAATAAGAGTATTAATTGCAAAATTTGCATATCGATATTTTCAAACATGCAAACTTGCTTTTTCAGAAATAAATCTATAGGAAACGAATCTATAGAAAAAAAGGAACTCTTTTAAAGGCCTTACAATTTAAAAAAATGACACAATGTAATCTCCATAAGGTAGAGATTTCTGTTGGTTCTATATCCCTAGTACCTAGAACAAGGCTTGGCATATGGTAGGTGCTCAATAAATACATGTTGAATTAATAGACATATTTCTAATGATACTGGGATTGACCCCTGGGGTGCTTTACCACTGAGCCACATCCTCAATTCTTTTTATTTATTTATTTTGAGATAGCATCTCATTGAGGTGCTTATGGCTGTGCTTAGTTGCTGAGGCTGGCCTCAAACCTGTGATCTTCCTGCCTCAGCCTCCCAACTCACTGGAATTACTGGTATGTGCCATTGTGCCAGGTTTTAATGAATATTTTAGAAATACCATTTGATTAGAAATTTAAGAAACTATAGGTGATCTGGTAGGCCATAAATCAAGTGGAAACTAAAAAGCCAGATGCAATTTTGCATCTTAAACTGATGTGGAAAGAAGCCCAATAAGACAAATTTTTCTTTTCCATTTACAACTATTGGTTTAAAGCATAACCAATGAGTCCAGTTGAGAAACACCAGTAATGGATATGTTTTAATATATAAAGTGTTACAATGTAGTTATGTTATGCTAGTCTCTAGAACACAGCTTCCTTGTCTCTGCTCAGGATCCTTGGTGGTTATTATTTACTCTTTTATCCTGGGTGAGTGGTGGGCTTGATGAACAAACCAGTTCTGGGCCCTGAGGACTAGAAGGAAAAGGCTTCGTGGCAGCAGGCTCTGAGAGTCACTTCATTTTTCCAAAATGTCCCCATGTGGTT